GAGCAGACTCAGGCGACCGGTGAATATTAAAGCGGTGGGGGATGCTGGAGAGGAGGACCACTAATTTCTTTATTTTTTTTAACTCTCACTTTCACCTATCCCAGATAACCCTAAGTTTTGTGTTGCTGCTTTATATGTAGATGATAATGCATGATTACAATAAATAGAGAGAGAGAGAGAGAGAGAACCACCATCATTATGCAATGGTTCAGGGTTTGTGTAATGTACGTTTGAAACCATTTCTTAGCGTCTCAACCCTAGAAAAATAGCGAAACTATTTTTGAGGAAAAGCATTATACTGAACTGAATAAAGAATAATAACTTTAAATTGGCTCATACTAATACTGATACGGGCTAAATACAATGTGGTATCGGCACAGTAAGATCGGGTATTTGTATAGAGGTATTCCAAAATGACATTCTGATAATCAACATTTTGTTCTGTTATCATAATGTATATACGCATAATACAACTGATCTTTGTGATTTCTTAACGTGACATTGTTTCTTCTCCCCCTGCAAACAAAAAAGAAAACAAGGTTATTTAATAAAAGGATCATGGGACAAAATGATCATTGTGATTCAAATTGATGCAAGGATTTTTTTTAATATTAAGCAATGCTTTTCACCAGAATCTTCTTTGTAAAAACGACTTTTAAAAATCTCAGCCATGCAATTCTGCCACTGTGTTGTAAGATCACTTTCACATTAGGAGAAGTGTATTTCTTTAATGAGTATTTTAAATTGAATGGAACGTCTCAACTCAGTAAGCATGGCTGAGATTTGTAAAAGTTGTTTTTACAAAGAAGATTCTGGTGAATAGCAGTGCTTATTCAAACAAATATTTGAATCACAATCATTATTTGTCGCTTAATCCCTTTTAATGATCTGTTTTCTTGCTCGTTCCAGTTCAGTTCAGTTCATTTTATTCAAAACCACACAAAGCATGATATAATCTGTTACATAATAAAGAGACTGGTAATAGTACATCAATCAACATATTCTAACTTGATTACATAGTACTGAATGGTTTTAGGACCCCTTTAGAAGCTAAGCTTGTGAGCGGGGCCCTATAGTCAACAAAGTACATACATTTACAGTAAAAAGAATGTTACGTATGATTATACAATGGATGAAAATACTAAGCTACAGAATATAGAACATACAAATACTCTCTCACACACACACGCACACACACACACACACACACACTGACAAGTAGGTCCTTAGTGGTCAAAAAACATTTCAGAATAAGAAAATACTAAGATGCAAATAAAAACTATGTCAGTCTTTCAAGTAGGTACGTTTTAGATAACCTTCTAAACCTAGAAAGAGTTGTACTATTTTTTATATCATCAGGCAGACTGTTCCATTCTTTAATGCAAGGGGAGAAGAAGATAATGTCATAGTGTGGTACGGTATGTCACTGAAACAGCCCCCGTACGACTTTTGTGCCAAAATTGATTATCAAAGTGGGGGGGGGGGGCTAAAGTATTTACGATCAGGTAGAGGGTAGCGAGCGTAAATTGGTGTGTGTGGGGGGGGGGGGGCTCAGGGGGTGGAGCCCCGGAAGCTCAGGGGTTTTAGGCATTTAATTACGGTCAGAGAAGCACAAATATTTTGATGCCGCATTTACGTCACTGGCAGGTCAGGGGGAGGGGGTTGTTAAGTTAAATTTACGTTATTATCCTACTTTTTTACCGGTTTGGGAGGCTAGGGGGGCGGGCCGTTAGAATCGGCCCGTGGATCCGCGCCTGTACAAAAAAGCACCAAAAACAGAATCGCTCAGTAAAGAAAGAATGTAAAGGTTGCTCAGAATAATGAGGAGGAAGTAATGTGCAGAACGAGAAGAAAGTCAGTAACAGCTATGTACATGTAGCTTGTAAATTTGTAAGAGGCAAAATGCTGATTATAATGAAATAGCAAAGAATTAAGGAGTAAGGGTACCAATTCAATGGAAATTTGTATAAAAAAGAGCCCCCGTCAGTACTAAAAGAGCCCCCGTGAGAAGGCTCACGGGGGCTCTTTTTGGGGGAAGAGCCCCCGTGGACAAAAAATTAATTTGAGCCCTGCCCATTAGTCTGCCTTATTCAATATTTATATACTGGTATATTATGCTTTTGTAAAAGCAAATGGTATTAGTACACTGAGCAAACTTCTGGGGGAAAAGATTTCTAAAATCGAGAAGTTTGGCCATGTTTTATAGGCTGAGTTGTCGCTCCATGGTGTAATCATTAAATGAAAATAAAAGTCAGTACAGCCCCCGAAATAGGATCAGATATCTATGAACCTCCCCCCCCCCCCGCCCCCCTCCCCCCACTTCTCCTTCACTTTTGAAGATTGTTGGACATTTTAACTGCGTGGCAATGACTACTATTATATGTAATTTCCAATAAATGCATATTTCCGACAATTCCACTTTCTTGTGGGCTTGGTATTTTGATACTCTGAAACAAAGCAGAAAGCCATGTTATCAATGTTAACCCATCACATTCCCGAAGTGCGCGCGTTCCAATAAAATATTGTCGATTACTATTGCGGTATAAAATAGTCTGGGAGAAAATCAATAAGCAGCTTTGTTACTCCGATAAAAAGCAGAAAGCCGACCATGTTACATCAATTAAAGAGAAGGTTGAGTTCTGGGGAAAGGTGAACAATAATTTGTGAGCGCTTGTTATCATTCTTGTTATGCAAGTGTGGAAGAACATCAAAGAAAAAAGTTATTCCCTGAAAATCTATTTCAAATGACTTCATATCCCAGGTATGACAAGTAACGGCTTTAAAATGAGGCCTGATTTGATTTGCCATATGTTTGTGTAGTCCCATATCAATATCTTTCTGTGTACAGTGCTTGTGACTTTACCAAGACTGGGCCAAAGTTTTTATCATTTTGATAAAAAATTTCGTGTTTTCGTGATTCCTCGTGATTATATGTTATTATTTGTACTAAATGCACTACTCACTTTAACACTTGACTTTTGTCGAGAACTTTCATTTCTTCGTTTGGACTTTGTTCGTCTCTGGGACGTTACACGGGCTAGGTTGTAGGCTGCCACCGGCCAAACCGGTCCGTTTCACAAACATTAACACATCAACCAATTCAAAATATCAAAAAATGTTAGACATTCATACATAATATAATTATATGCAAGCTTGATCACAAAAAAAATATTTCAAAATCTATTTTCCACATTGTATTATCCTCAGGACATGTACGAAATACAACAAACAGCCTTTTATACAATTTACATTATTGAAGAAAGGACTATAATAGACAAGCCCATGCAGCAGCTCTACGTCTCGACATTCTGTGTGATAAAAGTGCTGAGATATTAAAACGGCACTCATTTTTTTTTGCTTGTACATTTTTACCTCTGATATTTTTACCTCTGACATTTTTACCTCTGACATTTTTACCTCTGACATTTTTACCTCTGACATTTTTACCTCTAACATTTTTTCCTCTGACATTTTTACCTCTGACATTTTTACCTCTGACATTTTTACCTCTAACATTTTTTCCTCTGACATTTTTACCTCTGACATTTTTTCCTCTGACATTTTTACCTCTGACATTTTTTCCTCTGACATTTTTACCTCTGACATTTTTACCTGGCACCCCATAGGCTGATGTAATATAACCCTCTCATAGAGAATACACGTCCAGCTATCCAAAAACACCTCTCATCTCCACGCCCATATACTTTGGGAAAACGGAGCCACGTCCGGGCCTCTAAACTACAAGCCAAATAAAAACCGCTCGCATTAGTCAGGATGGCAAACTCTTCGTCAGATGACGGTGATAGAGGCAAGGGACAGGCCAGCCCTCCAGTATCCAGGACCCGTTCCAAGATGGAGGGCTGTAACATTATCATTGCATCATGAGCTAAATCCAGAATTTTGTTTCAGAATCTGAGACAAAGTTACCGGATCCCTTTAATCGGACGCCTCATAATCATATTCGAGATGTAGAGCGGTAACGAGGATGACCACACCCGCCCCCTACTACTCCGCCCCATAGAGGGGACCCACGGGATGATGATGATATTGATTGATATATTTGCATTACGTAATATTGACACGCTGCTCATCGCACACGAGGCGTCATTTGCTTGACGCAGGAAAGCGACAGCGACTGCTATGGTTATGGACGCACCATATGTGACATCGTATTCAGTGCAGTTCAGTCTTTATTTCATTCTCAATAAAAAAAAAAACCCACCTATACCAAGGGGGCAAAACTCGATTTGAGACATGTGAGAATAATTTGCATTACAATTGTGAGCCAAAACGTAAATTATATTAAACAATTTTTTCCAAAAATGTTATTTGCCCCATAATACATATTTCTCCATATGGAAAGAATTATGATGACTACTGACTTGGAACGTTTTGAAAAACCGTTCATGGGTATGGTTATATTTGCCCCTAAAACGCCCCTGCTTTAGAGAAATTGAATAATCAACAAATTACCGGTGCCTCTGGTATATTTCAAATATTTCAAATACCACCTAAAGTCGTTCCATGGTTGCTGCGACCATGAATATCTCAGAATATGCAGTTCTGATATATGATTTCTAAACGGGAATAGCAAATTGATCGATTGTAGTCAAGAAACATTGTTCTAAAGCTAAAGTAATATCAGTCTTGAGAGGGAACTATACAGCATAAAAAGTTTATTATTTACAATTTCTTATTTTTGCATTCGATTTCAACCGCGATAACGATCATCGAATATTGTAAAATTACATAAGCTTCCAATATGTTAATTTGAACCAAATTCTTGAAGCAATAACAAAACTTTGTATTACCTTTTATAAAAATTTCCCTTTTATCTCACAAACGCAAATCATTTTCCCACCCCCTCGCTCATTCTCTTTCTTTCCCTCCATCCTCCTCTTCTCCCCTCTCTCATCATGTCTCTCGCATACGCAAGGGGGGAAGGGGTTGGGGGGGGGGGGGTTACCCCCCCCCCTCACAAATAAAATAGTACTCACTACTCACTATAAATCAACATTTATTATGAATAATTACAACTAATTATAACGTTTTTTATTCAATTTTATTCGCATAACTTGATAACTTGATAATAGTAGAGACTCCTGGGACTGTGGAAATTATTCCTGCGCCTATTCCTGCGTTCCACGGATCTTGCTAGTTGCCATAGCCCAATTTCTAATAATCTGTTCTGTTTTAGTTGCGTTTTTTCTTCATCTAATTCGTCTCCATCCATCCGCAACGTACTAGCTTGCGTATGATTAATTTTTTTTCGTTCATTGATTTCATGATTTTTTTCCGGATAATGTTTTGCTGGTGAAAACATAAAATCATCGACTTCTAAATTAAGCATACAAATTGCGTGAAGTTGTCTTCAGCCGTTCGGGTATGACCAAACCTAATGGCTCCTCAGGGATAATACATACAAACATGTACATTCTGGTCGCCGTATCATGCCATACGATAATTATGAATCGAGTGAATATGTATTTATTTTCTTACAAATGTATTTGGTTCCAAGATGTAATAATGATTCGGGTCCGGATATATTAGATTAACAGGAGTAAAATTCGCAGACGACTACTGCGAGTGAGCGAAAGTTTGTTTTAGTCGAGAAGTTTTTTTGTAATGTAATTATCATCATAATTTTCATCATTATCAAATTTATCAGTATCACCATCATTCCCATCATCAATAACATCCTTGTTATCATAATTTGTATCATCATCATCATCATAATTATTATCATCATCATCATCATCATCACCATCATCTTCATTATCATCATTACCTTAGTGATGACGATGATGATGATGCTGACTAGTTTTGAGCAATATATTAATCATTATTATTATAATTGTTAATATTGCTGTTGGTGATTATTATTAATATTTTCTTCATCATCATTATTTTTTTCTTCATCATCAGACTACTCTCTCAGCAGTCCAAAGGAAACTAAATCCCTCACCTGCTGCAAGACGAAGATGGCGCACTAACAAAACTGAAAAGACGTCTGTTCAACTATAACGTGGGCGCACCTGCCGGGCGGCGAAAATCTTTAATCATAGGAACTGAGAAAGGATACAAGCTACGCTTTAAACGAACCGTCGACCATCCAATAATTACTCATATTCTCAATAATGAATACACTTAATTAGATATCAATGCTGATCAAAGACCTATTTATAGTAGTACAATATGTGATTTAGGATTTGAAGTAGAGTTCGGGTCACGTTTAGGGTTTAGGATTTCAACGAGTTTAAGGTTAGCATTAGGATATATTGGGTATCCTAGTTATACAATAAAATCGTAACAATCCAACGCATACTCACGGTATTGAAGTTTGTTGCTCAATAGTACATGTATGTGCCATCGAAATATAATGGAGAACTGAATACTAAACTTTGATACGAGTAACAGTAATACACACTATAAGACTTATCGCATAGCTTGCATTTAAATCTTCACTTGCCATCCTACGATTAATCAAATATCTGCTGCCGGCCGGCGTACACATTTGGGGATCACGTCACCTTCGGCTTGCTGTATTAAAGCAATGGAGCTCTCATTATTGGTGGAGTTTCTAAAAGGGGAAGTCCATCCAGATATCAAGTTGGGTTTGATAGATGCAGAAAAATAGGCCAGGTCAGTGAATGGGTTTTCAAAGTTGCGATTAAATCAAACTCAATTTGGCAACTCTGTGACGTATCTTGCAAGCTCTCGTTCCGTTTGGTATGCACTAAACAAATCTGAAAATTAGACTTTCCTTCTAGAAAAAAATGTCAATCATACCTGCACCCTAAATATATTTATTGCAAATGAGTTTCTATAAAATCCCTGTATGGAAAAAACTATATCTTCATAAAAAATGAAGGGAATGAAAGTTCATGAAAACTGGAGAGGAGCTCGCAAGAAACGTCGCATTTGCTCTGTACTAAAACAATCAGAAAATTGCATTTTACTTCTAGAAAGCTGTCAATTATACCTGCATACTAAATATAACTATTGAAAATATGTTTCTATACAACCCCTGTATGCAAAAAGAAATCTAATACGTCATTAATAACGACGAAAATGAAAGTATATGCAATTTTCTGTATAATGCAAAGCGGAGAGTCGCTTGCAAAGTACATCACAGTATTGTGTGCAAATTGTGTTTGACTTCAAAAATTCATAACTTTCTCATTTTTTATCGGAATTTGATCAAACTTTCACTGAACTGTTCTTCTGATATGTTATTTACAGCAAGAATTGAGTAATTTTTCTCTTTCATTTTGATTATTCTAATCTAAAACCTCGTAGCAAACAGCATCACTACGGTTTTACAAGACCAACCGGTCCTAGGTCATTCCAGACAGTTTCTTTGGCATTATTATTTCATGATCAGTATTTAATATCATCAGACTCTATAAAATACAGCGCAAACAAATACATCAAACCACGAAAGCATTATCAATTTATTTGCTTGTTTGTTTTTAACAAGACGTAGGACGATGCCCGATTGAGAAAAGAATATCACAGGTCCTCTGACATGAGGACGCCGTATTAGCTGATCCATCCTGACGAGTACCCGAACAACTTTATCAAAACCTAGTGAAGATAATGATACAAATTGTATTTGTTTTCTCATTTCACATCAGGCTTATATATACGGATCAACATGATAGCCAAATAAGTTAAAATCGGCAGCATACAGCATAGCAAGTTTGTACACAAGTGACCTAGGTACATCCCGGTAAAATTTATCGGCCAACGTTGGGTCAGAACTGTTTGTCATAGAAGACAGATTTGGTTTGGGAAATGTAATGTCTGGATCAATGTTTGCAAGTCGAAGAACAAAGTCGGCATCTTCGTTTATTGTCTCGTATTTGCCAATGATGTCATAGTCGATATCGCAAGGTAGGCACATGGAATAGATATCAGACCAGTGTTTGTTGTAGGAATCTGTATCGGCATCCACCAGAAACCGAATAAATTCTGAAAAAGTAAGATCGTATTCTTGTTTCCAGTTTGAGCTAACACGGCGGGCTTCCGAGTTGCCGCGGTAACTCTTTATAATCTGTTTTCCATATTTTGAAACCCATTGCTCCTTTTCGTCTCCATGCCGAAAAAAGAAAGAAATATTCGGAGCGAGCTTGTTTCGGAAAGCGGAAAGAATCCGAGTGAAGGGATGTCTCACGAAGACGAACTTCGTGTAGTTTTGTAGCATGAATCGCCTCTGGCTGATGTTGTACTGGTGAAGGTAATCAAGATAGAGTCTTCCTTTTGCATTGGGACCGAGATGGTATTTGCCTGAAGTATTGAGATGCGCAAAGCCTCCTAACTCCAGAAAAACGGTCTTCCAATTGGTACAGGCCACTTTAGGTACGTTACAGTAGATGATTCGATGTTCTTCGTTAACGATGAGTTGTTCTGGTGGATGTAAGGCTACATCTTGGATCTGATGAGTTTCTCTCATGAGGGCGCACTGTTCTTTCAACCGTGCCTTCCGCTGCTGAAGGATGGATATAAGTTGATGATCTGCCTCAACTTTCCTGCTAGAAGGGTTATCCTAGAATTGAGGAAATGGAAAATCAAAATAACGATTTCAAAAATACATATTGTACCCCAATTTTAAAATTAGAGTAGGTTGACTACATATTTTTATGAGCGTCATAACATCCTTTGTTACAACTTAAGTAAATAAAACATGATGACATGTGATAACATATTTGTCAGTAATAATGGATATGTCTTCTTTATAAAACCGGGATCACGTGAACGGGACTTTTTGAGCAACGACTTGGGCTTGCTCCCTCTTTCTCCCACCGCCTCAATAGCTCTCTGTCTATGAGGCATGAAATTCACATGGTATGGACAGCGGAAAGGTGATTTACATGAGGCTTTTAGAATAGGGACTAAATCGGCGTAAGGCCACAGCTGGTGACACCATCACAGGTATAATATATAAATTCTGCACAAATGAACGAACTGTTGGGAGATAGAAAGGCGTCAACTTTTTGTGGAAATATACACTGTTGGTCATCATGGAGGAATTGTTTTTTTTACCCCGATTTATATAAAGATTTTAACAACGATTTATTCATAAATAAAGCATATCGAAACAGTTTTGCTCCTAGGGGCTCACAGCAACGGGGCCATTGCTTAACCACTGAATTATGACTGTACGCAGGGGGGGGGGGGGGGGGGGGGGGGCTAGGGTACGTCGCCGCCCCCAAAAAAAATCAATAAATTTTCAATCATTCATTGCATTTCCCCCCGGTCTCAAACATTAACAATTTCTCTGTAGGACAATGCATTATGGGTCAAGGCATGCCCACATAGGTGATTCTTTTATCTTAGGGCTTGGGGCAAAATGCAATGAATTATTGACAATTAATTGCATTTTCTTTGTTTTTTTTATTTGTGGGGGCGGCGACGTACCCTAGCCCCCGCTGCGTATAGTCGTGATTCAGTGGCTAAGCAATGGCCTCGTTACTGTGAGTCCCCAGGATCAAAACTGTGTCGATATGCTTTATTAGTGCCCTTTTATGAGGCATTATTCCTCATTGCTGCCAGTTATGACTTAAGGACGTAGGTCCTCTAGTAGATTAGCAGAGTAGCATACACATGCGTTAATAGCATTCACGCAAAACTAACACTCACAAATTATTATTCAATAAAATCAAAGAATGTATATTACTATCTAGATCTAGTAGGAATAAATCATTGTTAAAATCTTTCCATAAATCGGGGTTTTAAAAAATTATTGCACCTTTATGACCAACAGTGTATTACATAACGTCATTGTGGCTCCAAACCGAGGAAACATGCAATAAATAAATTAGATTTACGTCCGCTTCAAACTATACGATCCGAATGCGGTACGATTTGGGAGAAGTTGCGATATCAAAGAAGATAAAAATGTTCACGTCTGACAAATCTCCCCACTTAAGGTTCGCTTTGCTCATATAGATAGTAAAACGAGAAAAAAAAAATCGAATTCCAAAATTGAAAAAGAAAGAATATCTTGTGACTGGTCATTACTAGGACTGCAATGATACGTATGTTTTTACCGAAGGTTAAAAGTGCCGACGAGATGACGACGTAATGTAGGACAAGAAGACGAGAAGACAAGTTAAAAGACGAGAAGATGAGTTTTTTGAGCTCGGCAAGTCAATATTTAGGACAATAATACAAGGCAACGAGTTGTTGGAACTCTGCAAATCTTTTTGGGGTAGTTTACCACCATATAATATGGCTCCACCCTTTTCTTCGCTTGTCTGCCGAAAGGTGAGTCATATACCAGGTGACCATTATCCTTACCCAAAGATATTGATTTTTAAACAGCCTTGGTTGTGGAGGAAAAAATACATCGGAGTTCCCCCTACCCACTTCAACCTTAAATCGATTTCCAGTGTTGTCACCATGGCGACATTTCTTCCTCTCGTCCTGAACAACAAGTCAACTTGTAGAGTTTCAACAACTCGTCGTCTCGTCTGTTTGTCCCAATCTATTTCGTCATCTTGTCGGCACTTTTAAGATTCCGAACTGTTCAAATATTCAGTCAATATTATCAACAAGACCTAAACAAATTAAATTTTCATTTAATTATTTCTTCCACAACAGTTTTAGATGAGCTGGCTCAGTCTGCCTTGTGTGTGAACGTGCCCCTCCCCTTGTTTCATAGATGCAGGCTATGTTAAATGGAATACACTCCGTCCCTCGGATAAGACGTTACATGGAGGCCCTGTGTAGAGGAGAGTCACCACCTTTGCACGTTAAGTACCTACTGCACTTTTTGTATAAGAGTAGGTGGGTAACCCCGGTGACATGCTCAACCTGCACACCCCTAATCAGTTATACCGGGAGGAGAGACCCGAGGGTTACAGTGATTCAGTTCGCTTTTCGCCATCCATGCACAGGTGACGCCACATAATAGATTTTTGCCCTTTTTGCGATGTGCTCAAAGAGAAAGTTGAGTTCTGGTTGGATGAAAAATAATTTTGAACTTTCTTGTTATCCTCAGTTTGAATGAATGTCATGGTCCGCTGAAAGTGGCTGCTCTTCAAATGCGCAGAGGGCGCAGGTAGCTATAAGTAGTGCAGTGGGGCTTAACAGCAAGAATACGCTTTATTTTTCGATAATTTAACACAAAAAACAAAAAAACTTATAGTATATGTATATATATATATTTATATATTTATATAGCAATTCCTATGCATTGCATTTCCAGCCTTTCCCAATTTCTTTCGCAATGTAATCGTATTAACAGTTCTCAACTTTATGTTAAATTCGATGTGTATCATACATACTAGATTCGTGCCCTGAGTGAGACGTTGAACGGAGTCCTTCATTAGCTTCTCCAGGGGTATGTTGTCCTCAGCTGCAAAGGTTGACCATAAATAAGTGAAAATTGGAATTGATGTTGAAATTTATACTCTTCCTACTCTTACTCTTACTACTACTACTACTACTACTACTACTACTACTACTACAAACTACTATTACTACTACTTCTACGAAAGTCATTTCAGCGATATCAGTTGGTATTTTCTCAATGATCGGGGTATACACATGCACTTTACTGTAAGAAGTACGAAAGAAAGGGTAAAGGAAGTTAATGACGAAGAGAGAGTGAGGGAATTTTTTTGGCACTAGGGTTCAAATTCAATTTTCTTTTAATAGTTTTTACGCCCGGTACCGATGATCATTTACTTACCATGTGACGCTAAGCGAAAAAAAATACCATAGCGCCATTTATTGTAATTGAAAGTAAGTCAGAATTTTGTTTGGGAACCAGCGGGATCTACTGGTTGCAAGCCTAACATTTCTTAACAACAATTTTCCCAGGAAGCCTAGCACTTGACAATGCTGTTTATTCAATTACTAGTAGCATTGGCGAGATGATTGAAAAATAAGAATGATATTACAACGTCGTTAATCGTGAGAAATTTAACTTCTATCTCTTTTTGCGAACAGTAGAATCAACAGTAAAATGAATCCTCATAAATTATGCTTCAAAAGAGTAAATTGCTACTCCATGTCATGTTTGTATTAAAGAGCAGCAATGGCGAATACTTGTTATTCAGCAACAATAATTGCTAAGATTGCTTTTGGGAGATGAGGCTAGATAAAAATATAGCCAACAAAATTGATATCGTCTTGACAAAAATAGATAACATTTAAAATTGAATAAATAAGACATAAATGTGATCTCTATAGCCGAGGATGACGAATTTAATTTTAATTTGACGAATTTGGATGCGAAAGGATTAAATTGATTGGACAAAGTTAAACCAAAAAAAAATGAACGACCGAAGGGGAAATTGACTATGCCATGTGCAAGATTAGAAAGTTTTGGGACAATTCATTGGAAAAAATGTTCAAATGGGCGGGAGAATCTGAATATACGTTGTCGTTAATCGTGAAAATATTTTCTTCTCTCTTCCTCTCTGGTAAATCCTCCGAACACTAGGAGGGTTTTTTTGTTTAAAATCCTTTCACTATGAAGGTTGAAGAGAATGCCGATACTATTTGGTAGAAAACAATGTCAACAAGTTATTTATCAGCATGAGAATATTCACCTCTCTCTCCCTCTCTCCCTCTCTGCTATATCCTCCGAACACAAACAGGAAACATTAGCCAAACTAGGGCGAAGGTCACCCTATGCCAGAAGATATATAAGAGCAAGTTGCAGTATTTTTCGACAAAAATTAGGAGAGAAGGGTGACAACCTGGAAAAGATCATTACCCAATGTCATGTTGAGGGTCAACGAACGAAACGTGGAAGGCCAAGAGTTCGATGTGCTGACGGAATAAAAGAGATTACTGGCATGAACATCTGCACAGCTCATCGCTATGAACAGTATATAAGTGGTTGTAACGTCATCATCAATAGGGTCACTCAGGGTCATTCTTGACTCGTCAATCCAAATAACATATTAGGGACTTTTAGATTCGCACGAAGACAATGGGGATTGCTACGGTCGACGTTCTTTTAATGCACTGCCTTGAATGGACGTCACACGTATCAGTCCACGCAAATCTAAAAGTTCCTATTTATAGAGCACTGCGGTATATTGGAGAAGGCTCTTGACTCTCATACAAAAGGTTCGTCTCTTACTCAATGCTGCTTACATCCTTAGGCAAGGTGTTTTGCCCACATATTCCCTCTTGACCCAAGTGTACCTAGCAACGATGGAGTAATAACATGTGCAGGGCCCACGGGAAGGGCAGTGTTGATAGTGATGTGGCTATACCCTGGCTAAATTAGACTACATTTTCACAGTGACCAAAATTCTCATACTTTTTCTGTTTATTTTTGCAAGGCAAGAGTCGGAAACAATAATAACGACTGATCAATTTTATTCAAGAGACAGAGTATTATTGTTATCATTTCATCGTGTTTTTTCATGTGATATTGACCCATCCTATCCCATTAAATCTACATGTAGTTTCTTGTCGTAAAGAAATGATAACGGGCATTATTTGTTCATCTTCCCAAATTAGTTCACATTGAGGTAATTATTCAGGTTTTATTGTTTATTGTTCAATTGTGGCAATCAAAAGACAATTGCTCAATTATGGAAAAATAAAAAAAATCATCTGTTTTGTTTTCATATAAAAGATCACTTTTTTATCCTGTGAAAACCGCATTGAAAATATAAAATCCAAACTACTACTTTGTGTGGATTCCACTAAATTTAAGTGGAATAAACTCTAAAACGAAGTGATTCCTAATTATGAGTCCGGAAAGAGTGAATCGCAACGTTATGCCCTGGTTCTTTTAAAGAGCAGCAATGACAAACGATGGTTGCTTAAATTCAGCCACAACCGTTGCTAAGATTGTTTTCCCTAAAAATTATAAAATGAGACATAAGCAAGGTATTGGAAGTTGATAACACATCCAGGCAATGTTGCAACAATGAGTTGTCAGAGCAACTGCTCTACCAGACATAACTATTACCCGAAAGCAATGTTCTGGATCTTGATTTGAATCTAGTAAACAGTTGGAAATTCGAATAAAAAGACATGGCTGTTCCTTTATATATCAGTCAGTAACATTAATATTTTTCCAAAAATTTAATTTCTTATAATACCTTTTTCAGTACAAATATCGTTTGTTCTACCTTATCGTTACATCAATTGGCTCAGATAAGATTGCAATCAAACTGGAAGCTAAAATTAAACAAACTTAGATGCTTACATTTTGTTTGTATGTTTGTATCAAGTTAGTTTGAGAAAAATATCAAAGAAATTGTGTATCAATTCATATCTCCCACTTATGAAGAAATACATCTAAACCTGTATTTACATTTCTGCTTGTACATGAATATATGCAATTATTGCACTTTTTGATGACATGCGCATACTAATTGTTATGTATCACCTTACAGGTTAATCCGATTTCGGCGAAAATGTTATCAAAATGGTCGTCAGGCTTAAAGATACTATGTCCCTTTTGAAACCCGTTTGCTTTCTAGACTTCACTGCAGACCCTATTGATTGACTGACTGGCTTTGTTCTTCTTTGGTATTAACATACATAAAATGAGCTGTAAAGGGTACATGGGCATTTGTCTACATCAATAACCCACTTCTTGTAATGGCCATTATTAAAATGATTGGATCTTTGCGCAGCATAAAACGTACGACCCTTCGGTAACATGGTCTGAAAATTAGACTATTACTTACTGACTCTATAGCTCTTGAGTCGATTCGACAAGTAATAGTTGTCATTTTCCCACTTTAAAACATTTTCAAGCCCTCTGTTGTTTAGGGAAGTTCTAAATTAGTATTATCTTTCAAATGCCGTTGGAATTTTAACCTTTTAATTTGTTTGGCCTGCAAATGGGTCATAGTACCTTTAAGGAAAAGAAATAATGAAACGACAGTTTAAAATACAAAGCGGCTGCGGTGCAGTCTCCAACAAAAAGAAAGGGAGGCCTCCCAGGCCCTCCATCCGTACAATAAGGCTTAAACGGACCACAAACAACAAAATGGCATCCGGACGGTTACGCATGAGTGCTTTGAGAAAACGAAGAGCCAGGTGACCTTGATTGGATGCTGGAAAATTCACCTTCGAAGTTTGACAGGAACTGGCATAGAGGAAAGGACCTGGATAGGGCACACAAGCACTACGTGGGAAGCGAATGGGATTATGAAAATATTAGATTAAGAAGAAGAATACGATTTCAGAACGTCAATCCCTTAAGAAAAGAGACAAAAAGACAACGATGATGATAACTATACCTACTTGTTATAGGAAAATTACTAGAATTCATTAATTTACTAACTTACCTTGATCGATATTGTAAGTCGAATGACCCTCTATTCTGCCATTACGAGTCAGGTAAAGAACTGCAGCACCTGCACATACAACGAAGAAGCAGAGTGTAACCAGTTGGTTCCGTCTAGGCATCCTGACGATTGACACACTATTAAGCCTTGTAGGAACCTAGGTAATCATTACTTCCCGTCACCCTCTCTTCTGACCTAGACTACGTCATCCCGACATGTATAACCTCGATACACGCAGAACCTATAGTAAAGTCATACAGCGAAAACGCATTTATAATCCAACCGTAAGTGAGACGACGATCACTAGATGTGAGAAGTTTACCGCTAACTTCCTTTGGCAAGACATCAATCTACAATCGCCACACTAGACCCGGGTGTAGTTATAATGGGTACCTTGCAGCAATTTATTCCTTGAAATGCGGGAGCGCAGCTGTAAAGTCAGACATGTAAAAGCTGCCAGAGTTCCAAGTGTTATGTGACAGGCATGCACGCTTTACAAGAACCCGCACTTTATATTACCATCCTTATTATTCACCCCCCCCCCCACCAAAGAAAAGGGAATGAGGTGTGCTATTCGGTGACCAGTTGGGTAGATATCGATCAGGCGCTCCTTTTTTGGAGCCATTTCAATTGATAAACACCATGTTGTGACACCTTTTTAAATATTGGTTAATAAAAAAAAAGTATATAATAAAATAATATGAAATACATGACTGTAAATAAATATTGGAGATGTAGTTCAATATTCGTTAACTGATGCTCCACTAAGATTGCACATGAGTTTCGTCTCAATAAGTTAGAACTGAACAATACTAACAGCAACAACAACAATAACAACTTCAATAATTATGATAATAATGATAATAATAACAGCAATTGTACTTTCATGATGATTGGCACGGCAGGTTCTTCCATTCATTCTTCTTTTGATATTGCATGTCTGTCTGTATATCTCTGCCTCTCCCTCGTTCTCTCTATCTCTCCCCCTTCTCTCTCTTTCTCCCTCACTCTCTCTCTCTCTCTCTCTCTGTCTCCACATATTTCTCTTCTGGTGATGTTTTTCAGGCAGTACAACATTCTTGAATTATCTGCTATTCCCACTGTGACCAATAATACCTTAAGACAGTGGCGGATCCAGGGGTGGGCCGAAACGGCCGCGGCCCCCCCTATTGGCGAAGTAAAAAAAATTGAGAAGGAAAAAAGAGAAAGAAAAAAAGAAGGAAAAAAAGGGGGAAAAAGGAGAAGATAAAAGAAAAGAGAACAAAAAAGTAAAGAAAAGAAAGAGAGAGTTCAAAAAAGAGGAAAGAAAAAGAAGAGAGGAGCCGGGGAGAAAGAAAGACAACGAAATGGCACTAAAAATTAGTGACAATGGCAGTAACGACGAATAAGGGAAAGACAAAGGGAAGGGGGGTGCGTGAAGGCGGATGCATTGAGGAGAGGGGGGGGGGAGGGGTGACTGGCCGTATTCTTATTTTTAGGTTATGCGAAACTGAGTCGAAATTATGCTTCTTTTCAAAACAATCTTAGCATGCTTGTTTATGTTAAGCCGGAGTGCATGAAAAGGTTAGTGTAGAAACACTTCTGAAAAGGCCGCGCCCGGCCCCTCCAAAGAACGGCAGAATGGTAATCTATAAATTATGGGGTCATTCTTGATGGCTTTGGAGTCGTTATTAAGGAGGGGGCCGGCCCTACTCAAATGGTAGTGACCGTAACGATGGATAAGGGAATAAGGAGGAAGGGATGCACATGCAGGCGCGTATACGCAGGGGTGGAGGGGGGAGGGGGAGGGGGGAGGGGGGAGGGGGGTCGAACCCCCCTCAAATTTTTGTCAAGTTGGTCCTGATGTGTATAATGCGTAGACTAGGGGTTCTCAAACTTTTTCTTTGACGGTCCAGAAGCGATTTCTATGAAAGCTGTAAGGTCCGAAATGACACTTGTATACTGAAGATAATGAGGCTTGTTTTTGGTCTATATCTGATCCAAGGAGAATTGTTACAGTTTAAAAAAACAGAACCGCCAGTGCTTCCACTCGTTTAAATAGAGTTTCCTGAAAAAGAACACCCAATATCCTGGAATTTGAAAGAATTTTCTTAAAACTTTCAAAATGCCTCTTACTTGGATTTCTTATTTGGATGAATCGCTATGACCAGCGCTCAAAATACACGGGGGCGGTGGGCGATTCGCCCCCGTGAGCTACATAATCGCCCCCGTCAGGTTGCTCACGGGGGCGATTGCAAAATTAAAAATCGCCCCCGTGGAATTATAATATAAAGATTTTCTTTTCTGGTATAACTTTAACACGATATTGAGTTTCAATTTTCAAATGAAATGGAACTTAGATTAGCGTGCAAGATTTCTTGTTTTATGAGTAGGCCTATTATTACCGATTCAGCTCACAGTGCAGTGCCGCCGTCAGCAGTGGTTATAGGCCTACTGCGCCCTTAGTAGCGGTACGTGTGCACGCTGCCGCGCTATGTCTGCTGGAGCTGGAGGCGATCGCGCAAGGGCAGAAACATGGTCATGGAGAAGTTTTTCGTTGTGAAAGCGTTAACCCGCTGAAATCTGGTGATTTCAAATGACTAGCAAATAATGAACCTCGACCAGTAAATCAATATTAGGGACCTTTAGATTTGCACGATGGGAACGTGGACTGAAACGTGTGACCTCCTTTTAAGGCAGTGCCAGTGCTTAAAAGGACGTGACATGTGACTGCCAGTGCCTTAAAAGGACGTAATACGTCCACGTCCACGCAAATCTAAAAGTCCCTATTTAGGAAGACCAAGATGTCGTGGAATGATATGGTAACATGGGCAGATCTACGGGGGGGGGGGGGTTAGGGGTTTAACCCCCTCCTCCCACCCCCGGCCCCCTTGGGCTGCCAAGTGAAAATGTGATATTAAAGCGGGGGGGGGGGGGTGCTGGAGAGGAGGACTACTAATCTATTTTATTTTTTTCATGGGGGGGGGTGAAGCGCCGTTTTAGCATGACTTTCTTTTTAACTCTTACTTTCACCTATCTCAGATAACCCTAAGTTTTTGGTTGCTGCTTTATATGTAGTTGATAATGCATGATTAAAGTAAAGAGAGAGAGAGAGAACCACCATCATTTTGCAATGGTTCAGGGTTCGTGTAATGTACATTTGAAACCATTTCTTAGCGTCTCAACCCTAACAAAATGGCAAAACTATTTTTGAGGAAAAGCATTATACTGAATTAAATAAAGAATAATAGCTTTATATTGCATGATACTAATACTGATACGGGCTAAAAACAATGTGGTATTTGTTTAGAGGTATTCCAAAATGACATTCTGATAATCAACATTTGTTCTGGTATCATAATGTATATACGCATAATACAACTGATCTTTATGATTTCTTAACGTGACATAGCTTCTTTTCCCCCTGCAAACAAAAAAGAAAACAAGGTTATTTAATAAAAGGATCATGCGACAAATAATCATTGTGATTCAAATTGATGCAAGGATTTTTTTTGAATAAGCAATGCTTTTCACCAGAATCTTCTTTGTAAAAACGACTTTTACAAATCTCAGCCATGCAAATCTGCCACTGTGTTGTAAGATCACTTTCAGATTAGGAGAAGTGTATTCTTTAATGAGTATTTTACATTGAATGGAACGTCTCAACTCAGTAAGCATGACTGAGATTTGTAAAAGTTGTTTTTACAAAGAAGATTCGGGTGAATAGCAGTGCTTATTCAAACAAATATTCGCATCAATTTGAATCACAATCATTATTTGTCGCTTAATCCCTTTTAATGACCTTGTTTTCTTTCTCGTTTGCAAGGGGAGAAGAAGATATGTCACGTTAAAGACATCATAAAGATCAGTGTTGTATGCGTATATATTATATACACAGGCCAGTAACAGCTATGTAGCTTGTAAATTTGTAAGAGGGAAAATGCTGATTGGAATGATAATGATGAAATAGCAAATAATTGAGGAGTATCATAGGTACCAATTCAATGGATATTTGTATAAAAAAGAGCCCCCGTCAGTACTAAAAGAGCCCCCGTGAGAAGGCTCACGGGGCTCTTTTTTTTTTGGGGGGGGGAAGAGCCCCCGTGGACAAAAAATTAATTTGAGCCCTGGCTATGACGTTTTAATATAATTTATATCAATTATTGAGTGGGCTTATTTTGCTTTCTAATGGATCCATACAACATGGCAGAGCTTGAGGGGTCTGGCAGAGCCTTTTCAAGAGAGAAATTGTCTTTAGGAGAAAAAAGAGGTTATTTCTAAAATGAAATGAAAGGGTTATTGACTTTCAAGAGAGAAAATTGTCTATAAAGCTATGGTCACAAATTAGAGCAGCGACCGACCGATCAGTAGCCTGCTCGGTCGCTGCTGGAATTAGGCATCGCCCAGCGATTAGTTCGGTGCCCGGGCGGCGACCGCCCAGGCACCGAGCGTATTTTGGGCGGCGGGTGAAAAGTGGGCAGGCGCCGCCCAAATTTTAACTCCGCGCTAAAACTTCAGCGGCGACCGAGCGATGCCCTAACAACGAGCGGTGACTGGCCGGTCCCCGCTCGGTGGCCGGGCAGCCGCCGGGCAGAATTGGTTAAAAACTCGCCGCTCGGCCGCCGAGCAGGCTACTTTTGGGTAATGTGACCATAGCATAAGAGAGGAAGAGAGGTTATTTCTAAAATGAAATGAAAGGGCTCTTGTCAAATAGCCCTTTCATTTCATTTTTTCTCTCGAAATAAACTCTCTTTCTCTCTTATAGACGATTTTATGAGATGGAATCTTCAATCTGAAGCCTTTTTGTGCTCTTTGAAAATGGCACACTGAATGGGGGCAGTGCAATTTAAATTTCAAGGGATGGATTAGAGTTTTTATTGAGAGTCAAATAGCCCTTTCTTAGAAATAAACTCTAATACATTCCTTGATATTTAAATTGCGCCGCCCCTATTGTGTCATCTTTTTAAAGAGCACAACAGAGCCCTCAGATTAGGCAGCAAGTAGCAAAACAAACCCGTAACACTGGACACAACATTCAATGGGATGATGCCCATATCATTGAGTTTGAAACGCACTTCTGGTCAAGAATGGTAGAAGAAGCATCTGCATAAAAAGGATGAATCCTTCACTAAATAGGGATTCTTGCTATACACTTTTACCTTTGTGTAACTAATAAAAGGTCCACGGGCGTGGTTGTTAGAAGCTTAAACTACATAAAACTCTCTCCAATTTTGCAGGGGGAGAGCCTTTGTCGGGAGTCTTTAATAATAAAAGGGATAAATCCTTCACTGAATAGGGATTCTTGGTATATGTTACCTTTCTTCGCTCCAGTGATCTCGAGGCAGCAGACAGCAAGAAATTGTGTAAATAATTTGCTGTTGCCGAGAGTCTTGCATGGGGCGGAGCCCCAGGAAGTTCTTGAACTTTAAAAAAAATTAGGAAATTCAAAATAGTCGTCATGAGCGATAGAAATTGTAATTTCCTCCTTGAAAGTCACATAACCCCTTTCATTTCATTTTAGAATTTAACCTCTCT